CCTGCTCAGGGTCGCGGAATTCCGTCCTGCCAGGCGTATTAATCCTACTCGTCTTGGGGGATTTGTCGTGCCAACTGCCTTTAAATGTTCGACCGATGCTGATGCTCACTGCTCTTCACTTGCTAAGTACAGTATGAAGCGAAGGAATTGATATGAAGCGGTGCCGAGTACATAGGTGCAGTCATATGTACCGTAGCGCTTACCGGCACGATGCCAACGGAAAGCTCGTCCAAAGCTGCTTTCTGAGTCGCGTACAATAAAGGCTTTTTGCGGGTTTTTGACAAATTCACTCCGCTTTTTCGCCATTTTCTCACTATCTAGCACTCTGCTACCATTCTTGACCGAGTACCAAATTACCGTGCCTTATACCTTCAATTCAACATGATAAAACTATTCCTTCACTCAGTATGCTTCTGCTGTCGAGGAAATACCTTTACTTCTGCAAGCGTGAGATCATGATTTTTTTTATCCCCTGAACCCAACCGGAATAGCGGTGGGAGGGTGTCTTTTGATGTTCCAATTCAAGTGCCTTATTTTGGTATCTAACACCTCAACATTCATTCTTCCAAATTACGACTGAACTCCAGAGGGAGATCCTCTGTATCCCGAGGGATGGAGAGGGTGTGGTTACAAACTTCATTCGAACATTGCATATGTCGCCTTCGTTTGAATCCGCTGTCGTTGGACAAGGTGTGAGTACAATTATTCCAGGACGGCATCCTATCCAAAGCGCTGCTGTAGCCACGTACAAGTAAATTACGCAGCCACTCCTTGCCTATTTCCGGGTTGACGAGTGTACTTTCCGATAACTAGGGGTTCCAGTGTGTCCAAATTAGCCAAAAGCGTCCACATTTGGCCAGGAAGTGAACGTTCATTGGCATGATTGATTGGGGATTGATATAGGCACGATGGTCACGTGTGATTGTGTACGATTGTGTAATGTACACCAATGGCAGCGCAAAGCGTAATTAAACGACTATAATGGCTAGCTCATGCCATCCCCTATGACCCTCGAACCATGGTTATTCGCGGAATGAAATTGAGTATAACGACGGAGGGTACTGGTATAGGGAACAACGTGCCATGCAAACGGCCTTAGGGCCAAATTGTGGCTGCCTGTCACCTAAGAAAACCAAGCTGCCTGGCATCGGTATTCTGAAACCGGGCACAGTTCGGAGGATATAGATACTAACTCACTATTAACTCGCTCCGAAACGGCAAGGGCAAGATAGCATTCAAATGCCGCAGCGACTGTGAATGGAAGCAAGGAGCGTGGCGCGTTCCAAAAGGCACTTCTTATCGGCTACAAATGTTGGCCAAGCACTGTGATGTGCGCTTTATACTTGATATTTGTCCTTTATCGTAGACTTGCTTGAAGGTTTATTTCTAATTTATATGTGAATACTCCCCTGAACGCCCATCTCCCACAGCCTCTGTTCACTTTGCTGTTTAATATCTCGACGCAATTCGGCTTGATGGGGGCATTGGTTCACATCATCTTCTGCTGATAGCTCCTATGGGATCTGTGAACTCATGTGAAGCTATGCAATAGCTTGGCCTTCTTTTGCATCTATAAAGAGTATACAGGTCTTACCAAAATGGAACGTGTCATTCAACAGGATATAAGAGGAGAAACTAGAGAAAATGCCCCTCCTCCAAGCCAAACAGCGCTCTTATCGAGTTCGAGAGATAGGAGGCCTGGTTGTCTCAGCTGGGAGTCAACCCGCGAACTGTGCACAACTGATAGCAGCGCTTCCTGCCGATGCATCATCGGAGCGCCGGATGTTTTGCTAGTTAGACAGGCGT